ACTTTCATTGATCCCAACTGTCTAGACAAACTGGTGTCTGATAGCCAATTCCCCCATGTCATCCTTCTCATAGTTGTTTTACTTTGTTTTCATGTAAGTTAATTGTTTACACACAATATTGGCCTTTTCTGGTATTAAGCACAGTTCCTACTTTCATAGCTAAATAGAGTTATTCTAGGCTGTGCCAAGAAGCTACAGTATGCTATTCAGTAAAATTAGAACAAACAGGAAAATTTGTCACCACATAAAATGCAGCACTAATTCATTTTTCATGACTGGAAAAATGTAATTATAGAGCATTTCTAATATAAAAGACTTTGCTGCATAAACTTAACACATATTTTGCAAGTTCCAACTAATTAAAAAAAAAATATTTAAGAAGTGAATGATTTTAGAATATTGTATGAATTAAGGATGTGAGAAGAGTGACAGAATATTCATTCATACTTATTTTTAACCAGCCAACTGGGATACAAAAATATTGTTTATGAGATTTCTGAATATATCAAGATCAAATGGAATTACATAAAATAAACGCCAAAACAAATATAACTCTAAAGCCATTTCAGTAAATTGCTGAAGGTCACCAGTATGAACACCTAACAAGATTGGAATTAAGATTCAGTTAAATTAATTGAAACATAAATAGTTCCTGACAATTAAATGCTCTTTGCTGAAAACATAAGAAACAGAACAATAATGAAAATATCCTTGGAATCAGCCCTCTGAGTTTAACTCAGACTCCCACCAATTTCTTTTATCTAAATGTCTTGGCTAGAGAGTGTGGGGTTTTTTGCAATCAGTAGTCTAGAAGACTCAATATGATAAGAGGAGGAAGAGTAGTTCTCAAAGATGGGAATTTCTTCCTCTCAAAGGAAGTTCATATGAACTCTTCTTCTTCTTCATTTAAGCAACTTCATCTCAACATCTTCCTGCTGTGCCCAAACCAGGGTGGACAGCTAACCAGTACAGAATGCAGGTATGGAACCACAAAGAATTTCACAGAAAAGAAATGTCACTTAAAACTGTTTTGTTATTTTTAGGCTGCTAGTACACATTTTAAAAATACCTCTACAAGCAAAGTTATCAAAACTATTATATTCAAATGAGTTAATCACATAAGCCTGGAACATTCACTGTGGTGATCAGAAGAAAAGGACTGTACTCTTAGAGCAGGCTATATGCAGAATTAATTTGTTTTTCACAACATCCCAGCTGTGGACTGAATTTTCAAATGCCATTCAGAACTGCCAATATTATAGTTCCTAATTTCTCTTGTTGTTTCTCTCATTGTACTAGTGTTACACAAAGTTTGCATTGAACTGAGCCAATTCTTTATTCTAGCAGTGATGAGTAATCATACCACTTACTTGGCAGGTACTAGCTTTTTCAGAAAAAAAAAATCTGGAGACTGTATAATTTTGAGAAAATTATGAAGACAGGCCAAAAAAACTTCAGAAATTATTAACTTAATTTCAAACAGAAGAAAACTTGTTAAAACTTGCAAAACCCATCTTCAATAGTCAGATAAACTAATGTACTCCAGAGAAATGATAGCATTTACACTGCAATTATTTAACAGTATGGAGTCCACAGCAACAGTAAAGGTCCAGTTTGCATAGATCATTCACAGAAAAGACCAATTTAGTAGTAGAGAATGCAATTTAAACATACTGAGGAGGAAAATATGCAAGATGCATGACAGTGAACATTTCATGTGTCTCAGAAGTTTAAGCATTTAACTTAAGAATCTAACATTGTCAGATAAACAGGCCTGAAATTTGCTATCCCTAGAAATGGAATTGTAAAATGAGGAACCTTCTTGACTTTCAGGAGACTTCACAGAAAGCAGAAGGGAACAGTGTATTTCTGATACACTACCATTTAAATAAGATGTGTAGAATCCTAAAAGTGCTGTGGTTTGAATCATCAAAAATGGTAAAGTACAGATTCACTACCCAGACAGAAAAGTTTTAATCCATCCTGTCTCATCAAGGGAATAAGCTTTTTTAGCGAGTGAAAGAAGTTATTTTACCTCACAGTGTTCCTATCAGAATTGTAATATTGCGTAACAAACACTTCACAGTCAGATGCACTAGAAAGAATTCATGAAGCAGTATTCTCCAAGCCCTCTGGTTAGAGCACTTACCTGATGGGACAGGCATCATCTATCAGTCAGCCCCTGAAGACTTAGGTGGGAGTCTGTTCTCTGATTTGGCATGAAAGAGATGCCGAGATATTCAAGTGGCGGTCCTTTTTTATGCATGATGACAGATCTCCTGGAAGCTTTAGTACACACTGATTTTCATTCATATCTAGACTCCTAGACAAGTAACTAAAGATCATCCTTCAGATATCTTACTTCCTACACCAGTGGTGTTCTGGGAACCTGGGCTTTAGTTTCTTGCCCAGAAAGAGAAGGCAGCAGACTAAACCAAAAGTATAGTCATAATTTCCTGATGGCTTTCATCTGTCAAGAAAAATATTTACTCAACCCAGACAGTCAAGAATTTCTTTAATACCATGTAGTGAGACATTAAAAGATGTTGGCTATAATCCTCCCCTGTACATTAACTTGTTGGAAAAGTAGCAGTAAATAGGGTTTACAATAGTGACTTAACATCCATACACTTTACAAAGAGAAAAGACTGATTATGACAGCAAACTATCAGTCTCCAAAGCCAAAATGCAAGTGTAATGAAGAAAACACAGAAAAAATGCAAATTCCTTTTTTTGCCTTACAAAGATTCCCCAACATTATACTTTTAGAACTCAGTTGTCCTGTTACTGTACTCCAGTTCTTCTCTTCCTCATGTCAATTCAGTAATAAACCGAAAATATTGGCAGAAGGGAAAAAAAAAACAAACCAACAAAAAAAAAAAGAGATACTTGAAGAGCCACTTTATTTTATAATCTATCAAGCCAAACTACAAGATTGCTGTCCAGCTGGGCTTTTAGCCCCAACCCTTTCATTCTTGGAAAGCTCCTTAGTTTTTTCAGCTTCTACAATACAGATGATTAGAAAAAGTGAATGGCCATTAAAGGTACTAAACAAGAAAACTTAAACCTCAATGAAACAAAGTTTTGATTTTTATTTTTTTAATGGAGATTAGGAATACAGACCATATGGATCATACACAAAACTTCAGTTCTTACTTCTCTGTAAGCACAAGAAATATGTTTGTGATCCATTACAGATCATATACTTTTTTTTTTTTTTTTGTTTCTTTCAGACAATAATGTAAGAAATGTAATATGAACTATATTCCACTTCGGAGAGACAGATTAGTAGCTCATTTTACACAGCTGTAATATGCTGTACTTTCAATACTGATTCTTAAATAGACCTAGTTATTTTCTAATGGCATTCTGGAGAACGCTAAATATTACCAAAATGTCTCAGAGGTGATTAACCTTTTATGAAATCTGAAATTTCAGGGCACACTACCTGAGGAGGTTGCCTGCCTTGGTCTGCAACTTCAGGACAGACTGCCATCATGTCAGCAATTATGTAATGACTTGGGTGAAGGGGCAGGGAACAGCCTTTCTGTGCCCAGGTTTCTATGTCTACTTTTTCTGTCACAGGGAGCCTGAATGCACTTTAGAGCACAGGCTCCAAGGCATATGTGAGAGTGCCTCAGCCCAAGAGCACATGAAAGCTCTGAGCTGGAGACTGGTCTATGAAGGCGTCCAGCTCCTGGCTGAAGAACTGGGAGCTTTCTAGAATGCAGATAGCTATGACCAAACTGCCTTAAAAATCTCCAAACTCTTCAGCGTATCACCTTTGTGTCATCTGCATAACTGCTATTCATAAAAAACTGACTACTACTAGCAATGTGAAACAGGCAACAGCATCAGTAGCTTCTGATCTCCTACAGGTTTGGGATTTTGTGTGGTTTTTGTTTTTCTGATTAGGGTTTTTTTTTTTCCAAGGTATTTTCCATAGTATTTTTTCAATTATTGTTGGGCTTTTTTAATCCTAAAAGTAAACACATGAAAAGTTGTTTTACCCCAAACTGGAAAAACAAAACCAAACAAAAAAACTTTTTAAAATCAACTATTTATAGTTTTTAGAATTAGAAATGTGAATTAGAAATCAAGATGCTAAACTGAAACTAGCACCCAAGGCCTCTGATGAGACACAGCTATGTAGTTCAGTATCATTAATTCTTTTTGTAGAATTAAGATCCTGAGATCTTTCACTTTTCCCCCCACCTATCAAGGTGAAGACAGGAAACTTTGTTCACCCATTCTCTGACTGCACACTCTGTATTAGCAGCTTGGCACCTTTTTGGACCAGAACATGGAAGCTTTTCTGGCCTGGGTGGAAACATGGACAGCATGTTATCCATAAAACCTCTCTGCACCAAAAATGACTCTCTGTTGTGCTCTATCCAAAAGAGATTAATGAGACATATTTCCTCTCTATCTGCTGCTCTGCAAGTTTGTGATCCATGCTGAAATCATGAAGAGCTTTAGGGCAGAATTAATAAAAATTGATTAAAACAAACTAGATCTCTATTTTTCTTCATTTGTGCCTGGAAAATATGTTGATACATTACATTAAAATTCACTAGTAAAAGGAACCAATATTTAGGATGTATTAAATAACCCTATTAGTATTATTTCTTCTTCGAATAACTTGTATTTTTAAACTAAGATGCAGATAAACTTTTTCCCCCCCTAAGAATTCTAATAACTACACATTTTCTTAATATTCTTAGTGCCAAAAGCATGCAAAATAAATTAACCTTGTTCATTAAATGGCATAAGCATTCAATCCATCAACTGAATGGATGAAGTAATGAATACTACACACAAAGATAAAAATCTAGAATCCTGGAAAAGTGGGGAGAGTAGGAAGGAAAACTATAGTCAAGTTCAGAGTACAGAATTGCAGAGTTCAAGCTGAAGCAATGGCTTATCCTTTCCCCAGCAGATTTATGAGATCAGATTTAAATCTGCTTTACTGCTTTCCCCAAGGACTTCCAATGCCCAGCAGCAGCCAGAAGGTGCACCTGGGATTCTATGCACATCTCCTTCTGACCATGGGGATCTTCAAGAACTCCAGTCTTCTCAGCCTCTAAGACAGGTACGCCGTGGGAACAGGTATTTACAGCCATTCTTTTTCGAACAAGGTAATTTTTCCCCAAAGACATCTGGAGATTATTTAGCAAAGTTTATCAAGTACCATAGGCATAGGCATAGAAATAGCTTTGTTGACTTTGTAATTTCCAAACAGGTTCCTTACAGCCCAAGACTGAAATTCAGTAAATTAAACTATAGTCTTGAAGCTAATCCACGTTAGTGAGCCCTTCAGTAACCAAATATTAGTATGCATGGGTTTGACTAATTTTATTTACTTCACTGCTCAAGTCTGTAATGTCAGAAAAAATTTTAAGTTCTTCTCAGTATAAAAATACACATATACTGTACTTCTTATTTTTATAAACATGTCAACACTCCTCTCATCTTTAACATATCCATATTAGTTTACATGGGAAACCATCTGTCCTTTAATTCCCCACCCCCAGCACACTTTCAAATAATTCCAGCTGCACAGCAATCCAATCCTATTTTCTCCAAGCTTGACGTTAATCTTAAATCCAGGATGATGTTTGTTTTCTATTTCAGGGTGCAAAAATGTAAACAAATATCTTTCAAAAATGTACTCTTTGATAGCCAGAGGAAAAGTGATGCTAAATAAATTACAATGCCTATTTCACTTTAACAGGAGACATGTCCAATCATTACAAGCATTCAAAACCTTTAAAAACAAAACAAAAAAAACTTTTAGTCCAACAACAGACCTATTTAGATATCAAATATATAAACCTATTTGATACATCAGACATATGCAGAAATAATAGTGTTCTTTCTATTTAGCTTCCAAAATGAACAGCCTTGAAGCTGAAAACACACACTTGTCAGGATGATCTCCCCAATGCGAATGCCAATTTTGTAGAACATAACTCCGTATGCTCTGAAGATTATAAAACAGTTTTTCAGGGTCAAGAGAGATTTCAGGGCACAAAGCTACATTTACCTCATCTGAATAAAACGAGAAAGAATAATAGAAATCCATTAACACAGCAAGAAGATCCACATTGCATCTGTTTTCAGTAGACTTGACTAATCTAGACTCCATTTCTATACCTGAATATTCTCCATTTTGCTGAAGAAATAAAAGGCGGATTAGACAGAACCATGTTTAGATTTACATTGCAACAGACAAGAGAAAAACAAAAAAAGTTGGGTCAAATAACAGAATTAATAACAATGAAGTAAGAAAAACTACCAAGGAATTAAGTTGCTAGGATACTGAGCACTAATATGAAATCAGATATAGCAATTAAAGGAAAACTATACTTTCAGGAACAAAACCATTTATTAGTCTAAGCTAAGTAATTAAATGGAATATTGAAAACAGAAGTAAATGAAAGAAAGCAGCTCAAAACACTACATTACCAATTTGCTATCAAGAGCTTGAAAGGTCAATTGATACACCACTATGAAGACAGATATCAATTTGACAGTAGCAAGTACAGATTAGAGCCTACCTTTTCACTTATACCATCAACGTGATCTTCTATTTCAGAGAGTTGTAATTTAAAAATTTTCTCCGTGTTACTAAGAAGATAGTGGTAGCACAGAATAGTAAAAGAAAAGTGCTCAAACCACCACCAAAAAAACCCCAAACAAACCACAAAACCAAAAAAAACCCCTGCTTCATATCTACCCGCAAAATTACTGTAGAACTCTTCCGGTAGAGCTGCACGGATAAAAACAAATTAGTCCTCCAATAGAATTCTGTAACAGGGAGAATTAAATTTAGTCCCTGCTTCTTCAGAGTTTTTATCCCCTTTATTTTCTACATTAAAATAGCTTAGTTCTCTAAATCAGTACTCTTATCTCCATCTTAGGGTATATAAGAGTACCCAAACTCTCATTTAACAATACCAAACTAATGTTCACTCAGCAGTTAATTTGGATACAGCTATATGAGATATAGAATGACTATGAGAACTCTCAGCAAATTACCAAAGTATCAATGCATTTACTACTTTTTTACATAATACTTTTAATTTCCAACGTATTTCACAATATTAATCAATCATTCTGAGAATATACCTGAAGACATGATTTCCATTTTGTCTGCAAAAAATTAGTATTTTGCAAAATGAGGAAGTCCTCCAAAGCAAGGTTACTGTGTTTCACTTTAGTTTTCCACTTCTATTTTTCTCTACTTAAATCTCTTACTTGAAGGTGTAGACCGAGATACAACTATTTGGGAAGTTGATTAAAGAAACTGGTTTGTATATAAAATCTCAAGTAAGCCTCTGGAAATTGTCCCTTTTAGTTAGCTTTTTTTCTGCTTAAATACTATAGCTGTGTAAGAAGAAATTACTCAAAAGAGTGATACTAATTAAGTAACAAACCCCAAAAAGAATATACAATCAATAAAAGAAAGAAATACCTAAATACAGAATTTGTTCAACTTGTAGATGAAGCAAGCACGTCAGCTTAAAGCAATGATTTCTCTAGACTTTAGCAGCATCAAGATTGTCTTTGTATGAATATGCAAATTTTCTTTTCACATTTTTATTGACTCAGGATTTACAAATTCAGCCACAAATACGAGAAATCAGTGCATCTGCTAATATGCAACAATAAATCCTTGTCATATTTCTTTAGGCTGTGGAAATGTTGACTTGTGATTTCTTTAGGTTATGGAAATGTTAACTTCTTCATCCCAGGCACCCTAGGTATACAAGTTACACATTTTAATTAGCTTAACTGAATTTATTGATCTGTATTTTGTATTTTATTTGAGCAACTAATAGCAAATGGAAGCACTTTTTAAGGGTGGTGAGACTCAGAATATCTTGAAAGCTTCAAATGAAAACCCTAAATACAAAAGCTATGTGTCCAGAAAGATCATCTACAACCACAGTAGCCCAATAACAAAACTAATAGTGTTCATTGTCATTACACTGAATATATAGGTAATATACTGAGGAGCTACTTCCTGCTTTGACTCTTTTAAGTAATTTTTTTTGAAGACTGCTGAAATACAGACACAGTTTCTCATTCCAGATTCACTATGATTTTTTGGGTTTATCTCTTCCCTTACTTCATAAACACTGCAGTTCAAACAGCTGCATTTAAGAATAAATTCAAAGTGTATTCTGGTAGTCAAAACCCTCCACAGAATAAGTTCAATATGAAGAATTATCTTTCCCTCCATGAAAATGATCTTTTATGAAATTTATGGTCTGGCCATTGAAGCAGTAAGCTATCCACACCTAATAAAAGCTTGTGAACTTGAGAAGAAAAGGGCTTAATTTACAGTAAGATGTGACTACAGAAATCACTACCTTTCTATGAAAAGCCATGATACAGCCAAGCACTTGAAGTACCTACTTCATCACACCTCTCTTCAACGAAGTACATCAAACTATTATCTCTTCCAAGTAAACCAAAAATGCCTAGGAACTCAGCTACTGCATATAAAACTCAGTTACTGGTCTGCATCTTCTACAGATTTTTTTCACCCATGCATCAAAACAATACACATTCCTCAATTTATGCAAACATACAGCATACACAAATCATTGAACCATGTGCCCTACACACTAGAAAGTTAAAATAGTCTACTTGGAAAACTCAGACACTCAGAACCACAGATTAAAGATGACCTGTAAGGAGTAGCATACAGGCTACAGAGCGGGCAAACGGGGTCTACTGTTTGACTACACACATCTAGCATTGTGCTTTATGTATCAACTGCTAGCCTACAAGGATTGGAAAAAGGTATTCATACCACTCAAACTCTGATAGTAGTTTATTCAAAATTATTATGGTACACATTCTGGTCTAATCTTTTTCAGATACATGTAGTATAGCTAGGTATTTCATTAGATATACATAATTCCATAAAACAGACACAATCAGAAGACTGAACTCAAGTCTTTTTGGAAATGGAACAGAGGCATAGTTTTTTCCCCATTACAAAACCTGTTTTAAACAATTTTATTTTTTTTTTTTTTAAGAGAAGGCTGGCCTAAAAGTATAAGAATATTTCTTACATTATTATTTTAAACATAAGACAAGAAGCTACATCACTATCAGCAAATTATGTAAACTTGATAATATATTTATTATTCATATATCTATTCACATGCTTAAAATCTTCCTCTTATCCACCCCTCCCATGTTCTAAATATAGATTGAGAACTGACATAAATTATTAGGACCTTAGAGCTCCAATTTTTATGCTACTGAATTTTGGGAATGAAACCATTTCATTATATACAACTGTCCAAACTTTAACTTTGGCACAATAACGCCAAAGGCATGCTTTGAGAGTAGTGGAAGCATGCAATGGTCAGAATTCACATGCTTCACCTGCCCCTCTGCTGCAACCTCCCTACGGGCCTGATGAAATTCAGAAGTCCTGGGTAGTCAGGGGCAAGTGTGATGTGGGCACCTCAGGTTCCTGGAGAGCTGCCACTAGCCAGGGTGGGTAAGGCTGAGGATCCTGAAGAGATATGCCACACGCCATCTATTTCAATACAGGAAAAAAAAGTGCAAAAGCCAAGGTTTGTGTTGGTTTTGTGTGTTTGAGAACCTTCTGTGAAATACAGTTTCAGATAAATATGAGTGTGAAAGTAGGAACCCAGTTTAATAAGGGGATGTCTGCAGGACTAGACAGCCAGATGTTTTAAGTGTTCACCAGAAACATCCCACTGTTCTAAGCAAATACGAAAACAACTCAGAAAATGCTTTTTATGTGCAGACATCTAGAAGGAGAACAAGGAGAAACATACAGATAAGGGTGTGTCAGAATATTTTTCAATTTAACACTTGAAATGTATGCTAACTGCACCTTTGCAGTAAAAGTATTTACATGATTCTAATGGGTGAAAAATCATGACAAGAATAGAATAAAGTAAAAATTCATGATCGACATTTTAAAGTCATCCAGATGCTCCAAATCAGTAGCTGCATTAAAAAAAAAAAATATCCTGACTTCAAACATTAATGTGTTTTACCACACCAGTGAACTGACACCTATGAACAGAGTCTAGAAGTACAGAAAATGAAGTGGTCTACTTCAAGGCACCAAAGCAGGCTGAGCATTTAAATTAATTAGCTACAGAGCTCCTAAAAGCCACAGGCAAACTTGCTGTCCCCCACCACATTACACAGCAAACATATGCTGTCTACAGTTAGGAAAAAAAAAATATTTATTTTTCTACTTCTAAACAGAGAAAGCTGACAAAGAACATACCAAGTAGAGGTACAGGCATGGGTAAACAAGTCATAAAAACAGCTCAGTCTTAGCAATTCTAAGCACTACAACAAAATGGTTATAACCACACCTTGAATACTGAGTTCCTGTTCTAACTTATAACATGTTCCACGTGCAGGATAATTTTATTACTAGAGATCAGTAACAACTTTGTGTTTCTATCACTTATGGCTGTACCTACTAATATGTAACCACAACATTCTCCCTATATAATCACATTTACCTCGACAAATATGGAGTATCTTCTTATATAAAACTATTCTACTGTAGCAATTTTACTGTGAAAAAAAATGTTGTTTTCAGAAAACAAATAATTAGAGAGTTTTGAAACCAAGTGAACACACTTCATCAAATTCAACATCAACATCAAATTCAGATTATTTAATAAAGCAAGCTCTCCAGACCTTGCAATACACACCTACTCCTTGCACACATCATCCTCCCTATCCGATAAGGGGCTCTGCTTTGAACTGTGATTGAATCAGAAGGCAGGTCTTACAACCCAAGAGAACTTGCTAGCTTGTTTATGTCCAACAGATGGGTCATAAAGTTTGAGACAGCTAAAAGACTACTTAAAACTGGCAAAATAGTTCTGATAAGCCAGGAGGAAGATGCATTCACAAAAGGATCCAGTGAGGCAGATGAGGGAGAAATCAGCTATTTTGCATGGTTTGGCCAAGGGCGGAGGGAAGGAAAGAAAGAGTTTGCTCTGACTTACTTTGACATGTAGAAAACATGCCCATGTCTTTTACTGTTGTATTTTTCACTTTCACCTGAAAGATCTAAGACATCCAAAAAAGGAAGAGGGGAGAGAGACGTGTTAGCTTTGGGGTTTGGTTTTGGAGCATTGTGGTTTTTTAAAGTTCTAAACTTGACAAATCATTTCAGATGAACTCTAAGGACAGGTAACAAAAGAGTATTTTTAGCTCATGCAAAAGCCAGGCATGAAGCTGAGAAAAGAGCTGGACAGTTCTTCCTGATCTTTGCTGGATGACTATTAAAAAATCAGGGTGTACTGCAGTTTAGAACATAAGGTCTCAGAATCTTATGTAAGTATATATTTACAAAATTATTTATATATTTTTATATATATATATATATATATATATAAAACCAACAATGTTTTAATATATCTTTCAAAATAATATAATGTCTATATTTGAAATATGTTTGGTTCTTTTTTTACTCACACATATTTGGCACATTGCCTTGACCAGTAGATGTATTTCTAAGGATTACCAAAGTTAAACATCATTATATTAAAGCAGAGTGCTAATACACCAAAAAAAGTCTAGATTCAACTATACATTCAGCTTACATTTATTTTTTGTAGTATGTGTGGTACACTCAAAGCAACACAATTTGAAATAATTAAAAAGTATATACAGACATATTTAAGAGTTTTAACATTTGTAGTTATGAAATATTTTAAAAGTTAGTGCATATGTAAAACAAATTATATGACATTATCAAACCTGCAAATGTTGGCAGCTGTAAAAGTGTTCTATGTAGCACAGGAGACAACTTAAGATGTCTTAAAGTTGGAGAAAAATCATCTCAGTGTCCCAAATAGCACTCCAGCTGTGCCCTGAACTCCAAGCTCATGGATTAAACTTTCAGCAGTGCCAAGGTCAGCTGGTATGTTGCTACATCACTAAAAGGGACAAAGAATATCTCATTTTATTTGTATACGTCCTGGTTTGAACCATTTTAATGTTGGTGATTAGAACAGTATAAAAATACACAACCGAAATAGGGTAAATAGTTCTAAGTACATCATCTGATTGGCTTGTTCCACCTTCTCAGATAAGGCCCACGGCGATTGCTTTTTCTTCCTCGTCCATATTCCACAGATCCTTGTCTCCTCACCACACAGTGCTGCAGCCTCTCTTCTCTCTTGCTCTGATCCAGTCTCACTGCTTATCCTCTTCCTCACAGCTTCTGTTTTCCTCTCCTGCAGGCACCAGTGTCCCCTCATCAGTCCTTCTTCCCTACGGCTCCTCTGCGAACCTTCCCCACTCCCTGAAGGTGGCTGTCCCATGCTCTCCCTACCTCCTGCTGCGGCTCTGTCCATATGGGGGGAGTGCAGAAACAAAGGCACACAGAGATGGAGCTACCCACTGCCTCAGGAGCCGCCGCACATTTCTCAGAGCTGCCAGGCACACCAAGGATGCCACAATGAAAAACCCTGCTGAGGCACACAGTCAAATGCAAAAGCCGAGCAACACTGCAAGCTCTACCTATCACCCTTAAAAAGCCTACTGGAAGATACAGCAGCTGAAGATGCTGACTAACACTGCCATCCAACTGATCTGTAATTTTCAGAGTATTTAGAGCATATCTAACAGCTTTAAGTTGCAGAACAAATGCATCCTGGCAGTCAGAAATTATGAAAAATTTGGTCATTTTCCCAAGCAAAAATGTTTAGAAACAACGTAGGAGGATAGCGATCTTTCTGGCAACTGACACTGTTAAAGTAAACAATGATTCAATCTTTTAATTTGTCATCTCCAATCTAATAATTTAAATAAATTAAGTAACTTTTTCAATATGTGCCCAAATTTAGTAAAATTTTAATAGATGTCCTTTGTGGTAAACAAAGCAAATAACCAAAATTTTAATTTCTTTTAGTTCTATGTTACTATGTCTGCTCCAACATTAAAGTGAATCTTTGAAAACAGATTGGTGGAAATGGATCAGTTACCTGATCCCATTGGTTTTTCTTCCTTAAGCAACTATTACAGAAAGAAATCTCTAACCATTGGTGCCTACTGAAAGAATACAATTTAAAATTGACTTATAGATAAATATAAATCTGCCTGGATACCATGTAATGAGCAGATTCCACAAGGAAGACATTCTGGTGTCTAACTTGCCTTAAGCACACTCTAGTTTCTGATCAAACAGTTCAAAAGATTTGCTCTAATATGATCTGCAAAGGGAGCACTTCTGAAGTTTGACCAAGCAAAGAAGAAACTGAAGATTGTTCCTGAATACCTATTAGATCAAATTTTCAATAACATGCTCATAAAATATTCTAGGAGAGTTTGCATATATATATATATATATATATGCATGCACACAGAGTATTAGCACACTCAATGCCCATATACTTACTTATATGACCTACCTATATGCTATAGAAGAAATGTAAGTATTTAAGAGTTTAAGTCCACTACCTGCTATCTAAAAGTTGCTTTTAATGAACATTAAACTTTACTTTTTAAACTTTCTAGGGCAAAAAATCTAAGTCAAAAAAACTTCAGCCCCAGTCACATCACATGAAACTGTCACAAGTAAAATATGCTGAGACAAATTTTCCTTCTTACTAAAAAAAAAAAATCAAGTGTAATTCAATACACCAGACACTCCTAACCTATTTTTTAAAATTTATGTCACGAGAAGCTTTTATAAATTTAGAACTTACACTGGTTTAGATAAACAACTATAGATGGTCATTTTAAAACTATACATATT